CTTTCTTTCTTTCTTTCTTTCTTTCTTTCTTTCTTTCTTTCTTTCTTCCTTTCTTCCTTCCTTCCTTCCTTCCTTCCTTCCTTCCTTCCTTTCTTCTCTCTCTCTCTCTCTCTCTCTCTCTCTCTCTCTCTCTCTCTCTCTCACACACACACACACACACACACACACACACACACCTGTCAGCCTTCATTCCCTCTCGCTCCAGGCACTTACTCACAAGGGGACGTGAATCCAGCATTAGAGAAGTTCTGCAGGTAAACGGACTTGCATTTGAAGCTCCTGCAAACTTCCCCATGGCTGGATTTTCTCTCCCCCCACCTCTCCCCTAGCATTCTTTCCCTCTCACTCCAGGCACTTACTCACAAGGGGAAGCGATACTTCTAGTGTCCATGAAGAATCCAGACTTGGAACAGTTTTGCAGGTTAACGGACCGCTGCTCCACCCACAGTCATGTGTTTTCAAATGGCTGCTTGAAAATGCATGGCCAGGGTGGAGGAGCAGCCCTCCTTTAAACTGGGGCAGTGAGCATCGGGTGGGCGGGGCAAGCGAGTGAGCGGAAACTGGGCAACCGGGTTGGGGGCGTGGCCACCTAGGTGATGCTACCGGTTCGGCGACCCACGCCAAATTCTTGCTACCAGTTCGCCCGAGTAGGTGCGAACTGGCTGAATAGCACCTCTGAGACCAACACAGTAGAAGAAGAAGTAGGGAGGGACTACTTAGAAGATGTCCAGACGGGCAATGCTGGGAGTTTGTAGGAAAACTCAGAAGCAAATATTAAGAATGAGCAGCCCCACTAGAAAAGACCAGACCAAGCTGTGTCGTGAAACAATTCCTGGTGCAAAACTGCACATATTGGTTGTGACTTCCACGTTGCGGCCAGCAGCAAACAATGCCACCGCTCCCATGTCGCACAGGTTCTTGGTAGCACATCCTGTGAAGGCAACCTGTTGGTCACTGAATGTTTCTATATTGGAAGAATGGGAGGGAAAAGGATTAGTCAGGCTGAATAGACGGAGCTATCTTCTAGAATTCTTCTGAGAATAACAGAGAGCTTTCGATTCTGCTGCACTTCCTTATATTTATCAACATGGTTGCATGGCTGCCCAAGGAGCTGCTGATCCAGTTCTACAGAGGAATTATTGAGTCTGTCATCTGCTTCTTTATAATTGTCTGGCTTGGTTCTGCAACCAAACAGGACAGACACAGACTTCAGAGGATAAATAGGACTGCAGAAAAAAACAATTACTACAAACCTGCCTTCCACCGAGGATCTGTCTACTGCATGAGTCAAAAAGCGGGCTGTGAAAATATTTACAGATCCCTCACATCCCGGACATAAACTGGTTCAACTCCTTCCCTCAAAACGACGCTATAGAGCACTGCACACCAGAACAACTAGACACAAGGACAGTTTTTCCCCAAAAGCCATCACTCTGCTAAACAATTAATTGTTAAACTATTACAAAGCCTGAACTACTATTACTATTGATCTTCTCATCCCTCCTTATCACCCATCCCCTCCCACTTGTGACTGTATGACTGTAACTTTGTCACTTGTATCCTTACCATTTATATTGACTGTTTCCCAATAGGATTTGATTGATTATTTGTACCCTATGACTATTATTAAGTGTTGTACCTTATGATTCTCGACTCTTGACGAATGTATCTTTTCTTTTATGTACACTAAGAGCATTTGCACCAAGACAAATTCCTTGTGTGTCCAATCACACTTGGCCAATAAAGTATTCTATTCTATTCTATTCCAAATTCATTTTGACAAAGGTTGAGTCAGGAGTTAATCCTGGACTTACAACCATTCATTTAGTGAGCGAAGTTACAATGCTTCTGGAAAAAATGACTTATGACCGGTCTTCACACTTACAACCATTGCAGCATCCCCACAGTCACATGATCAAATTTTGGCTGCTTGGCAACCAACATGCATTTATAGCTATTGCAATGCCCCAGGGTCATGTGATTGCCATTTGTGACCTTCCCAACTGGCTTCCGAAAAGTAAAGTCAACAAGAGAAACAGGAGTTGATTAATAACCATGTGATTTACTTAGCAACTGCAGTGATTCACTTAAGAATCATGGCAAAAAAGATGGGTGCAACTTATTTAACAACCACCTTGCTCAACAAGAGAAATTCTCATTCCAAACATGGTTGTAAATTGAGGACTACCTATTGACAGTAGAATTCCAATGGACAAAAAAAATGGAGCTATCTACTTACCTTTCTTTGCACGGGTGACAAAGTGGATGCAGTGTGTCATGAGACCTGTGCAGGCTATCTCCGTCTTGTTACGACAGAAATCCGTGCCATGGGCAAAGCATGAATTGCAACGAACTCCATTCCGATTCTGAGATGCTTTTTGAACTATGGACGGAGAGACCCCCCCCAAAAAAGAATCTCTGGCAATCTCTAAAAATTGAGACGATTTTGCTCAAGTGATTAGACTAAGCAAAAATAAGCTTGGGTCATTGGCGGTTATGTATGTTGCCTTAGCATATTGGATGAGTGCACCGAAGTCTGCCAAATTTACACTGCCATTATTTCCTTCCCAACGCCAACAGCAGCATCTCAATGAAATTAACTAGAAGAAGAAGAAAAGGACTTCCCTCTTCCCATCTCCTTTTAATGATCCCATAATCCCTTGTGGGATGGAGTCAGGGCTACTGAATGGAGCTGAGTGTTTACTGCCCGGATGCCCTTTCTGTCGCCAATGCAGATATATTCTCATTGTGCCCAGGGAGAGAAATATCTGCCTCTACCTAGGATCGAACTCACAGCCTTCTGATTGTGAGGTGAGAGCTCCACCTCTAGGCCACCATACCACTCACTACTTTCCAATACTTGCTTGTATTTAAAACAAGTTGGGCATCTTAGACAAATCGTTTGTGGATAATGCCCTATGTGAGACCATGGATAATTTGGAGCAGCTCTTGAACTGAATTTGAGAGCAGATGTCACATCTGTATGCTGTTGTATTAGTTTACTTTACTTTACTTTATTGTCATTGCACCTCGTACAACGAAATCAAACACCATCTTCAGTGCACATCATGACCATGAAAATGAACACAAACAAACATCCTTCATACTCCACACATTGAATTGAAAACCCCCCAACACCACACCAACACTGCACTATCAGTGGAATTCAACAGAGCTACTGCCCTGGGATAGAAGCTGTTTTTCAGCCTATTTGTCCTTGTTTTTATTATCCTGTACCGTCTGCCCGATGGTAATAGTTCAAAAAAAGGGTTCTCAGGATGAGATGGATCTTTGAGGATGTTTTGAACTTTCTTAAGGCGGCAGGAGCTATAAAGCTCTTCCAAAGAGGGGAGAGGGCAACCAATGACCCTCTGGGCAATGACATTAACCCTCTGGACCCTTTCCTATCTGCCACTGTGCAATTGGCAAACCCTACAGAGACGCAATAAGTTAAAATGCTCTCTATGGTGCAGCGGTAGAAGGTCACCAGCAGTTTTCCATTTGGTTGTTTGTTTCCTGAGAAACCTCAGGTAGTCTAATCTCTGCTGGGCTCTTTTGACCAGGGCTGCAATGTGGGCACCCCAGGTCAGGTCCTCTTTTATGGTAACACCCAGTAACTTAAAACTGGCCACTTGCTCCACTCGGTCTCCAATGATAAGCAAGGGCTGAATGTCTGATCTGTTTCTTCTATAGTCCACTATAAGCTCCTTGGTCTTATTGGTGTTGAGGACCAAGTTATTGTCTCCACACCACGAAAGCAACCAGTTCACCTCATCTCGGTAGGCAGGCTCATTCCCCCCTGGAGATGAGTCCCACCACTGTTGTATCATCTGCAAATTTAGTAATAGTATTACTAGCGTGAGTGGGAATGTATTGCCTGTCTTCAGTGAAGAGGGACGGCTCAGAACCACCTTTTGCTAAACTGCAATGTGAGCCTTCTCTGGATGTTATTTCTCAAGAAATACGGTAGCAACTGTGAAAACTACACTCCACAGATGTGGAAAAGCTTCCCTGTGTTTCAAGAGCTCGTGTGCCACCTCCTGGTACTTCAGATTAAGAACCATTTCTCACATTTTGCAGCTTTTTTTTTCCATTCCAAAGGGCTTGCTGATATTCACGGAACAGGGAAGGAACTTTGTTGGCCATCCAGATGACTTTTGGAGTTCATCTCCCCAGAGCCACCACAAGGATAAACAATGGATAAGTAAGAATTAGCCATGCCTCAAGGGCTTGCCAGAGGAAATGGCTGCCTTTGTCGGAAATGTGCTTGGAAATAATTGTTCACAAGCTGTTTAATCCAAACCGGCCAAGTGTTCTGACCAAACCTGGTTCCAAGAGACCAAACGCAAGACAAAGGCGGCAGCTGCCACCTTTTAAGGTTTCATTCACGAATTCCGTTTCTTCACAGATAAAAGGCTGCTTCCAACTAATTAGCTCCAACAAGAAAGAGCCTTGCCAAGTTGTTTTTCAAGGCTGCCAAAAACCCACAGATAAGAAATAGTTTACAAGAGTTTTCAAATACTAACTATAATGTCCATGAGGCTGAGTTTCAGAGCGTCTTTGCCTTCTGCAAAGAACGCTTCTTCAAACCTGGCTTTTATCCACTTGAGGGAGGGGCCATTACCTTGCAGCCTTACTCCTGAGTCACCCGTGCTGTTGTAACTGCTCTCTCCTATGAGCAATCCTGCGTGCACGCGCACTTGGCACAGGCTCCTCGGGAACCTCCTCATCACTACTGCCAGCCCCCACAATCTCTGAAGGCAGCAGTCCACTCCCTAATGATCCTGGCCCCTCATCTGAGTCCTCGCTCTCCTCCACCATCCGCACCTGCTGCTGGCTAACCACAACACCAGCATCTTTGATCAAAACAACCCCAGTTCTTTACCGGTTATTTCCTCAATATTACAGCGGTCAGCACGACAACAACTGGAATTCCACCGCATGCGGAAATCCCCTGCCACCAAGCCATAAAACTGGTTGCACAATCGATCATCGGAATTGCACTTCTTCTCATAAACTGGGTTTTCTACGTCCTGGGTTCCTAGGGATGGAAGTCAGATCAATTAGAAAAGTCAGATCAATTCCTGAAATAGGAATGTTTGAACTTCTTTTCCTCTACAGTTCAGTGGTGGGATTAAAAAAAAATTACTACTGGTTCTGTGGGCATGGCTTGGTGGGCGTGGCTTGGTGGGCGTGGCAGGGGAAGGTTACTGCAAAATCCCCATTCCCTCCCCACCCCACTAACCTGCTTTCCAGCTCCGTTCTCCTGCACAGGGCAACAAAAGAAGACCCAGCCAATCAGCTGGGACTTGGGAGGCGGAGAATAGATGGGGGAGGGGCCAGTCAGAGGTGGTATTTGCTGGTTCTCTGAACTACTTAAAATTTCCATTGCAAATAAACCTCCCAGCACATGCTCTAACACTAAATGCAAAACCAGCATCTATCCTCTGGAGTATGGCAAAGATGATAGATAGATAGATAGATAGATAGATAGATAGATAGATAGATAGATAGATAGATAGATAGATAGATAGATAGATAGATAGATAGATGAGAGAGAGAGAGAGAGAGAGAGAATGATAGAGAGAGAATGATAGAGAGAGAGAGATAGGTAAGTAGGTAGGTAGATGAGAGACAGAGAGAGAGAGAGAGAGATGTATATAGATATAGAATTATAGTTATAGGTAGGTAAGTAGGTAGGTAGATGATAGCTAGACAGACATAGATGAGAGAGAAATAGAAATAAAATAATAGAAAAAGAAAAAGAAAAAAATATCATTCTTTTCCTAATTTGTTTTAGAGGCAGATGGAAAGATAGTTACTGACCTGTGTCCTCATCCCTGGCAATGGTGATACAGCTGTTGACCAAAAACGAACATTTCTGCTGAGCTGTGCTGCAGTTATAACCTTCTGTGCTGGTGCAGTTGAAGCAGAAGATGGCATCAACTATAGAGAAATGTTGAAAGAAAGTGATTAAAATCATCGTGATGAGATTGGCGCCAGAACCATTTCAGTACCTACTAATCTCCAGCCTGAGTAGAGCTTGAAGAAACAGTGTGTTTCCAGCAGTTGGTTGTGAACCTAGATGGCTATCAAATATCAAATTTGAACTCCACATCTTCCCAATCCCCAAAGCCTTCCTGTTTTAGGTCACTAGCAAATGGGAGAAGCTAAATAATTCAACACTTGTAGAACATATGCTAGTGACTTATATCTGAAACTAGCCGATAACCCAGCGTTGCCTGGGTATCTATTTATCCCAATCCTGTATTGGACAGGAAAATCCTATAGTCGGGACTCACACTGTTGTACTGTCTCTTACACAGCGTCGCAAGTCTTCTATTCCTTTCCTTGGGAGTTTCTTGTCTATGCTGGTATTTCATTTTTGTAGCGTTTGCTTGCACTTGGCCAATCACCTGTTGTTTCCTTGGAGGGCTGAGAGGGAGCCCCCTTGTGGAGTACTGTGAAGACGTTACAATGGCAAGTCCACTGTGCTGTACAGTAGAAGCCATTTTAAAGCACACACACACACACACACCGAGGGGTGTTAGGGGTGTCTTACCCCCACAGTATTTGTTTCCAGAGAGTAAGTCATCTGTGTACCAAGTTTGGTTTAAATTGCTCGAGGCATTCCAGAGTTATGCTGGAACACACACACACACACACACACACACACACACACACACACACACACA